TCCCCCCCCCCCCCCCCCCTTCTCTCTTCTTGAAATTCAAACTCAGCCGATAATGCTAAACAAGGAAAAAGAATCGTGAAAATGTGAATAAAGATCAACACAAATACAAGGAAAATGAAAAATCCTTAAATAAAATCCATGCAAGGGGTAGCATGAATAATTGAACTAACCACAGTTGACTATAGCAGCATACTCATTAAGCATGAAAAAAAAAAAAAAACTTAATATATACTCATTTTCATCCTTAAATTCTCGAATTCCATGGGCCAATAAATACTTGTTTTCACAAATCAATGTTTCTTCATTAAATTTCTCTACATTAGGCAGTTTGTTGCAGTTCAAGAGAAACACAGTTTTTTAAATTTCATACCTTTTACAGCTTATAACCACCCTTAAGAAAAACAGTTATAAAGCTCATGCTCAAGATATTTCACATGATTCCTGTTGCTAATGAAGTTTCTAACACGGATAACACTATCTTTCTAAATCCCCTGCACCCTTCACCCTTCACCATCAGATACTCAAGTTAAGCATCGAGGGCCATCGAAAAAAGATATTAAGATAATGACAACAATTGAAATGGAAGTGAAAAGAGGTCGAAAGACAAGTAGTACACTAAGAGGAGTAGCAAGAGCAAACTGCAACACCAGCTGGTACCTGGCAGAACGTAGCATCAACAATACTTAAAAAGGCACTGACTCCACCAATGGAACTTGGAGGTGAAAGTAAAATAATAGGTAGATAAGTTATCAGAAAAACACCAAACGGATATGTCATAGGATGCTTACCCTCTCCACCGACAGATACAAATCCTTGTCTCAAGATATATTATATATATTATTATCCTATTAAAAAGTTTCACGTATGATATCACGTATGATATCATGCTACAAAAAGGTACAAATTAAAATAAATAAATAAATAAAATTCACTTATGAACGTACGATGTAGTGAAAGAGAAGTAACAGTGTTATAAAGGATTATTTTCACAATATTAGAATAATATTTGGAAACATATATTAATTTTTAGAGTCTCTTTGGATATAAATTTTAAATTTTTTAAATTAAAAATACTCTTTATTTTTAATATAAAAAAAACCTTTAAAAACACTTTTAATTTGTAATAATACCCTTATGAAGAAGAAATGAAAGAGAAGTAGCAGTAAACAAAAGGAGAGTGAGTCATGAAATTGAGCACAGGTGGTAGAGGTGGGTCATAAAAGACAATGCACTAATATAGGTGAGGAGACAATACTAAAGAGAGACCCACACCCCAACAAATTAAATGTTCCTAGCTATCTGTTAAATGTTGGGATGAAATTATGAGACTAAAATAGATGCCACATGCCCAACATATTCTTCTACATTAATTTATTTTTATCTATTTATGTACTCCACAATAATTACAAATATATTTTCTATAGTGTAATTTTTTATTTTTTTTATAAATTTATTTTTTCATTAAATTGTTAATAATTTAATTTTTACATATTAGAATACAAACAAGTTTCACATCAATAAAATAAAAAAAAATAATTATAAAAGTACCGTAAAAGTATAAGTTCTATAATAATAATTTAATTTTTGGTAAATAAAATAATAATAAAAACAAATATTAAAGTGAGTATATAACATTCTTTGAGTGAGATTAAGCTTTTTATTAGATTACAATATATGCATAGTGAATATAAAACAAAAGAGTCTAATAGGCGTATGCATTTTTACTATAAAATATTTTACACAATCACCTAAGTAAAATTTTTTTTATAATTTTTAAAATAGTTATTATACATGTCAATAAATTTATCACATATAAATGCTTGTAATTAAATGAGATGGTAAAAAAAGCTTTACATAATGTACTAGATTCTAAAGTAAATTTATACAAGAAAGTACTTTTGTGCATGTAAGTGAAATGTGATGAAACTAGAGAATACTGTTTAGATATGTCAAAGAGTACTAAAAATTGGAGAATAGTATGGAAAACAGTCTCCATGAAATGCGGGGTCAGAAGAATTATCATTGCATTATATTAGTTTCTATAAATGATGATGTCTGGTGTGTTTGTCTTCTGTTGGTAGTTAGCTCCAAAATACAGCGTTATATATAGTTGAGGAAGAAGAGCTTTAATAGCAAAAGGGGAAATTATAAATATAAATATATATATATATATATATATATTATTCTAAATAAATTTTTAATTTATTTTTTTAAAAAAATATAAGAAATAAAATAATAGAGTATCATGAAAATATTATATATATATTTTTTGGTTTATTTCATATATATATTTTTATAATGAAAAGTTTAGATTAGGATAAGTTATGACTCTATATACAAGATCAAAACTAACTATCAATTTTTTCAAGAATTTCTAGTAAAATTATAAATACGAGTCATATTTGATTTCAAGTCTTAATTCATAAGTATAAGAGATTTAACCAGATGTGTCATCTTTGCAAAATCATTTTATATATATTATAAGTTTTTAATTCAAAATTATTCATTTTCTCTCAAGCACTTCATCCTCTCATACTCAACAATGGTTTCCTTGTTGATTAGAAGAAGAAGAAAAAATCCCTTTTGGTTGAAACTTGAAATTAAAATTCCATTCACAGCTGACATGCCATGCCTGAGAATACTTTCTAAAGTTAAATGGAAACAAGGCTATCAAAATCAAACCTTTAATCATGAGAGATCTAAGAGAATATTGATGATTTTTATGAGAGCTTTTTCTTTTCCTTTAGTTTATGAATGATGGCCATGGCCAACGGTGCCACATTCACTCGCTTCAACAGTAAGAAAAAAGAATTCAAAGGCCATTGTCTCCAATTAGACGTTATTTGAGATGACAGTGGAACTAACCATTTCTTATAAACTTATGGTAGAATTGTTAACCACTTTGCATTATTGTTTTACTAGTCATTAACTCATACTTAAATATTTTACTGTTGATATATTTTTTTTTTCCAACGTTATGTTACTTTGGCAGATAGTCCCACATTACCTTCCAATAAATCAGCTTTAATAAAAGTGGAGAACATAATTCAATGAAACTTTTGACTTTGAAAATTATGAAATGCATACTTTATCACAAAGGGTTTTTGCCTATCATTTTTTTTTATACAAAGGGGGAAACTAAAAAATTATGTAATAGGAAGAGGATGTTTCCCAAACGATGAGTCATTGAGTTGTTTTACCCCAGTGGTGGAGCACCATATAGGTTAATGAATAGATTACTAGTTCACTAGAGCTTATACTAATGCTATGCATGAGACAAATTAGAAGTGTGGAGTAAAATAAAATATTATAATAAAAAATTAAAATTTTAAAAATGGAAAAGAAAAATAAATAAATATAACACTATTAAGTTTTTAAAAAAATGCAACACATGTTTGATCAAAGTTGCTTCTTCAATGGGTGTTAGAAGATTCTACCATTGCTCATTTTAAAATGTTTAAACTTCAATTCATAATTGAAATAACGAAAGAATAAATAGTTAATTGAATCATTTGATAATAGCAGAAATGGACATAAATAAAAATGAATATTATGCGATAAATTAATATATTAAAGTAACTCATTCATATATTATGACTATTATTTTCTCTATTTCCTAAAAAATAAATTAAGTGTCAATTGTACTAATTTATGTATATTTATTTATTGAATATATTTTTTTCACACATAGGGACTAAACACTTAAAGCTAAAAATCATTAAAGATAAATACAACTGATATATCAGTAAGAAGAGAAATTTGAATCCACTAGAGAAGCTTTTAAAAAATATGCAATTTTTTACTCAAGTCACATATCTAAAATATGATATAACTCAATTTGTTTCTATGAAAATATGACTACAAGTTACTTCTCAATCTTGATCCATCAAATTTACCACTTTATTAATCAAGATATAACAAAGATGATATTTATAATCTATGTAATATGGATTTGGATACGATATGAAGAGATGACACGGATATAAACACGTGAATATAAAAAAATTAAAAAATATAAGACACGTAAAAACATCATATATTTAATATATAATATAAATAACATAACAAAAATATTATATATTAATATAACAATAATCTATTAAGTCTCAAAAATAAATTATTAAGAAACATCATATTCTACAATAATTTTTTTTAAGTCTCAAATCCTCCTTTCATTGTTTTTATTTTTATTAAGATTTTTCTTTTTTATTACATGAAAGTTAAGTAAGGAAAGACAAAACAATTCTCTTCTTTGTTTATATTTTTATTAAATTTTTTTCTTTTAAAAAAAATCTCAAATCTTACCTACTTTGTTTCTATTTTTATTGAGATTTTTTTTTCATTTTAAAAAAAAAATCAAACTCTTCCTTTTTTATTTTTATTAAGATTTATTCTTTTTTTTAAAAAAAGAAATCTCAAATCATCCCTTCTTTATTTCTGTTTTATTAAGATTTATTTTAAAAAAATCTCAAATCCACGTATTGAATAGTGCATCGAGATGAAGACGTATTCATTTGCAGGTATTCACAATAGAGACATGTTAGTTTTATAGGTGTCTGCGATAAAAACAAGTCGATTTTATAGGTGTCTGTGATGGAGATGTGTTCAATTTGTGTGAAAACAGTCTATCAAAATGTTTAAACATGTTCACGACGTGTCCATTCCTAAAGAGTGTCGAGCTCGAGAACACAACAATCTCTTATCATGTCCATGCAACATAATCTATAATACCCGTCATTTAAAAATTTTGCCATCAAACTCAACTAACATTTTCTCAAGAAGACCCTTATCATGCATTACCCATAACACTCAACCTATACCACAGAACAAGTACCCAAATTAATAGAGAAAGCAACACAAATCCACCATGATGATTGTTAAGAGCTAGTTATCAGGACTAATATCCTACCATTTATTCTCTCATTATTATGATGTAATTTCTTGTTTTACATTGTAATCTTTTTCCTTTAAATCATATTGATTGCCTCACACAAATTGTGGTGAGATTTATCACATCTTACATGGTATCAGGTTACGGTTCCAAACCCTAGCCTCCAAACCCTTGTGCCGTCATCTGCCACCACGGTCGTGCATTCTCCCCCAACCGTGCGATCGTCCAATTCTGTTTGCGGTCCTCTCTCATGGCTGACGATACCACTCCTCCGTCTCTGCCGTTTGCTACCTTGGTTCACATGATCACCATTCGGCTTAACTCTGAGAATTTTCTTCTCTGGCGTAAACAGGTTACTTCTCTTCTTCAAAATCAGAATTTGTTTCACATTGTTGATGGTTCTGTTGAACCACCGTCGCACATCCTCGATTCTATTCCAAATCCTCGATTCGCTCAATGGCAAGCTCAAGATCGAAATGTCACCAGTCTCCTACTTTCTTCCTTGACCGAGGAGGCCCTCTCTGAGACACTCAGTGCTGACACTGCATCGGGCTTCATATCAGTAAAAATCAACGAGGCTCCAAATCTGATATCGCGCCGGGCGTGACATAAGAGTGCCCGGCGGGACAGTGGTCAATTTGCAAACGATGGACGTTAGAAAGTTATTAAAATTTTATTTACACTCTTTTTTTATTTTCATGCTCAACTAAGAAGAAA